AGGAGAGAGGCCGCCTCCCTGCCTCCGGGCCGCACACTCCTCGTGGCTTCCTGGCATTCCCCCCTCCTCCCAGCCCCAGGGGAAAGCAGCCTGAGTCCTTACAGGAGACGTCTGGGTGATGATAAAGAAGAAATTAATTGAAATATGTCTCTCGAGGGAGTGGCCACGTATGGCTTGACAACAGAGGCAGTGTCATAGGGCAGGAAAGTAGCATCATGGAGACCGACACTGGGTCAAACCTCCAGCTCTCCCACTACTCTTGGTGTGACAGAGGGCCCGTGAATGAGCCTCAGTTACCTCATCTGTGAAACACATCAATAGAAGAAGTAAAACCATCCCCTTGGCAGGTGGCTGAGGGATCGAATGAGAGCTCTCTGCCAAGCGTGCCCAGCAGAAGGGCAATAATGACGGTCGAAGCTGGGGGGACAGTCACGCGGTCCCAGAGGCAGGGAACACTGTCCGTGTCTCACAGCTGTCACAGGGGTCCTAAAACACCTCCACATCTGACGTCGCATGTGTTCAAAGCAGCGCCTCTGACATTCTTGCCTGGCCTCGTGGGCAGCTTCATCTCTCAGAAATTTAAGAAGGAGTGAGGGGACCACCCCTGGGTGTAATTCTGACCGACGGAAAGGACCTTGGGACCCATAGGTGAATTAGGAAAAGGCACCTCCGTCGGGTTGCCCCAGCCCAATGGACTCCTGCTTAGTGAAAAGAAGGTGACTATCAAAATGATCAAGAGTCCTTTCCTCTGGGCTGACAGTGCCCTGCACTAGGACACCCCCTTAGCCAAACATGCTTGTGCAGGGCGCCCTGGAAATGGGCCCTTCGAAAGAAGGCAGGCTCCGTCAGTCACACGTGGGCCTAGTCTGTGCCCCCAGATGGCCCTGTGCAATGTCAGGCGTTTGGGATAGTTGATGTTCCAGGAATAAAGAAGACCAGGGAAACTCCTGTTAGACAAGTTAGCCACGTGTATTCATCGCAGGGAGGCTTTCATACGCTGCACCGTGAATCCTCCCAGAGAGGAACCTTGCACGCCGCGTTTATTTCCCAGATGCCTTTGAGTGGAAACTTCCTTTCTCGTGGAGGAGCTTGCAAATAGAAAGGAGACAGAAAAGCTGTCCTAGGCTATGGGAGTGCGGTTTTCATGGCCAGCATTTTCTAAAGGAAATTAAACCAAAGGCAGGCGGGAGGTTGTTAAAAATGAAACTCTGTGTAGATGCCTCTGAGAAACTTCAAAGAAAACAGAAACAGGCAGTGGGTTATCTAGGTTGCACATGAGAGAAACCGGATTCAAACAAGCTTAGGCATAAAAGGGATTGTGTTGCCCCAGAATCCAAGGCAAACTTCAACAACCAAACAGCAGGGGACAGGGGCGGGGGAGGGCGCAGCTTCAGAAACAACTGGAACAGGGCTCTGGCCCTCTCGTGTCCCTCCCTCCTTCTTTCTCTGGCCCCTCCTCTCCCTGGGTCCCTTCATTCTCTTTCAGTAGAGACGGGTTTTTTCACACTTTTTTTTCCACACACGGTCCCCAATAGTTTTATATTTTACACATCCTACCACTATCAAGAGACTATTCTGAGTTTCTCACTGATCCCCTATTTTAAAAAAAAAAAAATCAGGGGAGGGAATCTTTGGCCCAGCTCAGTCAGGTGCCCGCCCCTGGTCCAACCTGTGACCAGGGGGTGAGTTCATGGAAGGACATGGGAGCCCTAAGGAAGCTGGGGAGATGGCAACTGGAAGGAGGTCCCAAGAGATTGTCTCATGAACGGCCATGCTGAGGGAGGCAGGGACCAGGGTGAGGGGTGGCAGTGGTTACATCTGAGGAAACCAGAATCAGTGTTCAGGGAGCTCTTTTTTAAAAAAATAGACTTCTTTTCTTTTATTTAATTAATTTTGAGAGGGGGAGAGAGAGAGAAAATCAATTTGTTGTTCCACTTATTTATGCACTCATTGGTTGATTCTTGTATGTGTCCTGACCGGGGATCGAACCCGAAACCGAAACCTTGGCGTATCAGGATGATGCTCTAACCAACAGAGCTACCCGGCCAGGGCCTGTACAGGGAGCTCTTAAATGAACTCAATTTCTGGATAGATAGACTCAAATAGGGCCCCTCCCTTTCTCATCTCCCTCTATCCTTCGTTCACTCCAACGCAATATACGTTTTTATCAAATGTTATCTCCTTGGTTTCTCCAAATGTTAATATTGTAGAAAAATGAATTTGATACTATATGTTTGAACAAAGGAGTGACTTTGAGAGCCTGTGCTCTAATGGAGGTGTGTATCCGCCCCCTTTTACTCCCCTCTGCTCCGTCACCTCCTGTTCTGTCCCCTTATTCACTTGGCTCTAGCCACACTGGCTCCCCTGTGGCTTCTGGAACACTCCGGGAACGCTGTCACTTCAGGGCATCTGCAGTCTCCATTCCCTCCGCCTAGAATCCTCTTTGTTCAGATCCACGTGGCTAATTGCCTCGTCTCCATCAAGTCTTTGTTCAGGGAGGCGTCCTTTGACCGCCTTATTTAAAATTGCAGTTGCCCCTCCCACTCGTCACCTCTCTTCATCTGCTCTGCCTGTCCTTTTCTCTAGGACATGTGTCATGTTCAGATATACCATATAATTTACTTATTTATTTTTTCTTGCCCCTCCCCTTTTACGAAAATATATGCTCCAAGAGGTTAGGGATCTTGAATGTCTGGCTCACTTACATATACCAGGTTAATAAATACTTGTTGATATGTTTGTTGAGAGAGAAAAGAAATTGCTGTGCACACTGATGGGGCCAGGATGAGGGAGACACTAACTTTAATGAGGAGTGACTATGTGCCTTCAACGTTCTGTCCCATGAATCCTCCCAGTTACCTTGCTGTCAAGGGTTATAATCCCTATTGAAAGATAAAGAAACTGAAGCCCAGACAGGTTGCGTAAGCTTCCTAAGAACACACCCCTCGTTACGTAGCTGAACCAAACCCAAACCCTACTTGTGAACCCAAAGGCAATTCTCCTCTCACTACATCCCTTTAACGTTCAAAATGTGATTGTAAAGGCACTGCCATGAAAATAGCTCAGGGAAGGAAGGGTTCAGTAACATATAAGGTTAGGTCTGTTGATGTTCTTTCCTATTTTTTCCTGTGTGTTTGTTTTTTTCCAATGGCAGAATCCTTGTGTTGAACAAAAGCTTTCGCACAGCCCCAATTTATAAAACAGAGGAAGGCAGAGCAGCTCTAGCTGAACTGGAGGTGGAGACCCAGTTCGATTTCTCTGTGTTCACTGTGGCCAACCTTAGGATATTCCCTAAGGAAATTTGCAAGGGCTCCAACGATCCCAGTTTGATGTTATTGGGATGGAAGCAGAGTTTGTTGGATCTGTGGCTGTGTACATCACAGAGACCAGCTCTCAACATCTTTCCCCTTCTCCTGGGATGGTGAAAGGAGCCTGGGACATGTCTGCTGAGCTCCAGAGCCTCAGGGAGGTTGACTGTCCAGACTTCGGGTTGAACGCGGTGGATTGAACATCAGTGTTTATGGAGCTCTGTCCCCAAACCCCACCTAAATGGCAATGAAAGATTTTTTTTTTTTAAGGGCAAAGTGGATAGGAGAGAAGATAACAGTAGATGTCAGCAAACTTTTAGAAGATGGAAAGTAGATGGTCGGTCACTGACTAGGCAGAGCAGGCGAGGCTGAAAGATAAGGCTCTGCACTGGGAAGCCAGCTAACGCCAAGCAGGTCTCATCACAGACTCTCAAAAAAGAATCAGGGGTTGAAGGCATCGGATTCTACTAAAGAGAGAGACGAGAAGTGGAGCTAAAACTGGGAGGATTAGTTCAAAGTCTGTAAAAGGAGCAGTTAAGTCCCCCAGATACCCTCCCTTGGCCCAAAGCAGCAACAAATCTCTCGCCAGGAAGATGAGATTGACAGACAGGCTCTGGGCTTGGGGAAAGCGGCCGAGCTGAGTGCCAGGTGAGGCGCCGTCCAGAAAACCGCCACTTGTGAACCCAGATGAGCTGAAACTCTGCTCACTGAGTACTGAGACCTCCAGCCAGGCTCATCTACCCCACCCCCAAATGGGATTCTGGGGCAACCCTTTCTTGGAGACACTGACAAGTTCAATAGAAAAGGCCCCCACAGAATGGCAGTCAGGAGTCTCCGAACCAAACGGCCGGTTAACTCACTCTCGAGTGAAGTCCCTTGGCAGGTCCTCCCACACAGGGAATGAGTGCAGCTTTTAAGAGCCTCTTAACTATGAATGGACATCCAAAAAGCCAGATGTGTGAGGAGGAGGAACTAAAACCAACCAAACAAGAAAGAATCGCTGAGGAAATAGAGATCATGGTTAATGGGACAACCTCTAGAGGCAGACTAGAGCCAGGGTTCAAATCCCACCTATACAATTTGCCAGCAGTGTAACCTTGGGCAAGTTACTTAACTTCTCTGGGCTTTAATTCCATCACCTGTAAAATGGCAATAATATTATTATCTGTGCTGTTGTTAGGAAGATTGAAATGAGTTAATATTTGTGAAGTGCTTAGAAAAGTGCTTTAATAATATTAGGCACTATGTAAGTCTAAACAAAAACAAAAAATGCAGGGACCAGAAAGAAACATTAAACCATTTTAATTAAAATTCTCAAGAGATAAGAGATGGTACTACATCCATAAACATGAGCTATTAAAATAGGATGCTATTAAAAAGTAACATTCAAAAAAAGAAGTTTTAAAAACTGGAAATTAAAAATATGATTGCAAACATTTTTTTTCAAACTCACAGAAGGACTGAAATTGAGGAAGTCTCCTGAAAAGTAAAACAAAAACACAAACAGATGGAAAATGAGAGAGGAAAAAATATGAAAATGAGAAGGTAAATCCAAGAAGTCTAACATCCTATGAGGAGTCCCAGAGTAAGAAAACTGAGAGATGAAGAAGAGGACTTTGCCAAAGAAATAATGTAAGAAACATTCCCAATGGAAGCACGTGATTTTCCATATCAAAAGAATTCACCAAATCCTGTCTGCAGTAAATGGCAGAACAATCAGACCAAGACACATCCTTAAAATTCAGGCTGACAGAGATAAACAGAAAAACCTTAAAAGCTTCTGGAGAGAGAAAACAAGTCACATACCTAGGATCTAGGATCAGAATGGCCTGGGACTTCCCAACAGATAGAGTTGAAGCCAGAAGACAATGGCACAATGCTTTCAAATCCGGGGTGGAGGAAAAGGGGACTTTTTCTTCTAGGATAGAATTTTTTTTTTTTTTAATTTAAGTATAGTTGGTAGTCTACAATATTATGTTAGTTATATTAGTTATATTAGTTTCAGGTGTACAATATAGTGATTCAGCATTTTTATACCTTACAATGTGGTCACCACCACCCCTCCATTCAAGTAATCATCTGTCCCCTTCATCTTTCTCACCCATCCCCACCCTCCTCCCCTCTGACCACCATCCCTTTGATCTGTTTCTACGAGTATGTTTTTGTTTTGTTCGTTTGTTTTCCTTTTTTAGAATCCACATCTTTCCCTGTTTGACTTATTTCACTTAGCATAATACCCTCTAAGTCCATCCCTGTTGTCGCAGATAGCAAGGTTTCATTCCTTTTTATTGCTGCATAATATTTCATCATGTATATACACTACATCTTCTTTATCTGCTCATCTATCAGTGGACACCTAGGTTGCTTTCATATCTTGGCTATTAACATGGGGGGTGCATATATCTTTTCCAATTAGTGTTTTTGTTTTCTTCAAATAAATACCCAGAACTGGAATTGTTGGGTCATCTGGTAAACCGATCTTCAGTTTTTTGAGTAATCTCCATACTGTTTTCCACAGCGGCTGCACCAATTTTCAGTCCCACCACCAGCGCCCAAGGGCTCCCTTTTCTCCGAGTCTTCGCCAACACATTCTTTGTTGCCTTTTTTATAATAACCATTCTGGCTGGGGTGAGGTTGTATCTCATTGTTTTGATTTGTATTTCCCTGATGCTCTCAGATAGAATTCTAGATCCAGCAAGTTACAAATGAAGTGTGAAGGTAGAATTTGGTTTCAAATATATTCCAATATTCAAATACATTTAAATATATTCAAAAACATATTTTTGATGAGAACATTTAAATTCTGCTCTCTTAGCAAATTTCAATTATACAGTACAGTGTTATCAATTACAGCCACCACGTTTTACATGCAAGCCCCTGACCTTGCTCATCTTAGAACTGAAAGTTTGTGCCCTTTTACCAGCCTCTCCCTGCTTCTCATTTCTCCCCATTTCTCCCCAGCCCCTGGAAGCCACTTTTCTACTCTGTTTCTAGGAGTTTGACTTTTCTTTGCCATTTCTGTGATAGGGTACCTAGCAAGCCAAACAAACCAGCAGACAAGAATAAAAAAAACAACAACAAACAATAAGAACAAAATAGTTTCACAAGAAAGAAATAAAAAGCAGAATCTACTACAAGGCTGGGGGAGCCAGTAGTCATAATCATAATTATGTAAAAGCTGGACACCGACTTACACAAAATATCACAGAACTATGTCTAGGAGGGTGACAGGAAAGCAAATACGGTGGACTCTTCAGGTAAGGAGCCTATATTCTCATCTCCACGGTAGAACTTTGGCAGAGAAGACTTAAAATTTTAGAAACCAAGAAATAACCGTCAAGCACTTGATGTCCATGAACATGCGAAAGGAGACGCCAGGAGGACCAGGTGAAGCAGCTGAGAGCAGCTGCTCCGAGCAGTGGGACTCGGGGCTGGCTGGCTGGGGAGAGGTGGGGCCGGGCCCTGCTCTTTTTCATTAGCAGTCTCGAGGTACCAGTCAGCTTTTAAAATTATGTGCATATATTGCTTTGATCAAAATTAAAATTTAATTTAAAATTATCATGAATTTTCCGCATAGCTGGAAGGCCTGAGCAGCTATCAAGGGTAGCCCATTCCCCTTTCTCCATCACAGATGGAACATAGCAGGAGCGGATGCAGGTGGCTGCTACGGTTTCTCCAACAACTCTGCTCCCAGGAAAAACTCTGGCCTTGGTGCCTGGTGACAAGGACATCCACAGAAGTTCAGCTGCAGGCTGTGACCTGATCTTGGAGAGTCCCGAGCACAGGGCTACGCAGCAGGCAGCTGGGATCCTGAGCTCACTCCTTGAGTGGCCTTCGTGCTGGATGGAGGGTCTCTGCAGGTGCCTGGAGAAATGATGCCGTGAGTCAGAAGCACTGCTGCAGTCAGGCATCCCTGACACAGTGAGAAGAAACCTGACTTTTATAATTTCTAGAAAACCTGCTCAGTGCTATGCAGAAAAAATACGTGCTCTAGTTAAAACTCCCGGCCAAGCAGGCAATGGTCTGAGGGAAACATCTCAGAGGTGGGTGAAACACACCCAGCTCAGAGTTCACATCTGCCTGGTCACTAAATCCCCAAGAGCACCTACTGTGTGCCAGGCACACAGGGATACAGATGAAAAGGCCCAGTCCAGGCTTTTTCACAATTTAGGGACCATGTTGAGGCTCCGTTTATGTAGCAGATGGACATTCATTGATCCAACAGCCCTCATGTAAAGTGCTTAAGGAGTGTCAGGCATTCGCAGTCTGGTCAGGGGACATGTGAACAATTAAATGCCATCAAGTGCTATGACAGATAGAGGAGAGATGGAGCACAAAGGAGGGGACAATAGGCTCTGGAAGGGAGGCAAAGGGTATCTAGGGGGAGGCTTCAGAGGGGAGATGACCTTGGTCTTAGTCTCAGGCCTGTGTGCCAGGTGGCTAGGCAGTTGTGGGAGTTAGGGTGTGGGTCGTGGCACGTGAGGTGCCATGGAGAAGAAGGGGAATCAGAAGCAAAGGCCAAGAACATCGTGGGTGTCCTGCAGTGGCTGGATCTAAGGATGGGCCCTGTGGCTTAAAAGGTAGGCAGAGGTCAGATCACCACGGGCCTGGCGGGTTCTGCTAATGCATGGATATTCTCCTGTGAGTTCTTCTACCCAGAGTGTGGTCCTCCCACCAGCAGCATCATTGTCCCCTGGGAACCCATCAGCAATGCAGACTCTCAGGCCCCACCCGGAATCTGCACTGTAACTGATGGTCCCCAGGTGGCTCACAACCTAGGGTGGGAAGCTCTGAGCTTCTCACCTTTTGGAAATACGAGGATGACTTTTTAACATCTGGCTATTTCTCCAACATCACTCCCACATGAACACTATCGTGCTTTTTTATATGCATTGGCTGAGGAAATAGTAACAAGAAGCTGCTATGAATTCAGTAATGCTTTGAATGATTTTGAATTTTATAATCACTTCGCCATCTACATATCTGATCTGTCCGGCAGTCTGCTGCTACCTCACTTCTGCCGCCAGTGTATGTCAACAGAATTTTTATGAATAGAATCTTAATCATCCACCAACTTCCCCTGTAATTTCAGAGACATGACACTTCCTGGCAGCTTCTCAAGGGTGGTGTCTCCTGCATGCCAGTCGTCCACCCGGACTTATCAGCCTTCTTAGCAAGTAATTTATAATCTCTGAGCCTGAATGCACCAGGAAACTCATTTTAAAAAGACTTGGAATAAATCTTTCTGTAATGAGACCAAACCCAGCTCCACGACAGAGTGCCTTCACTAATGTCGGTTTTGTAAATATTCTATTTGACAGGAATGTATTAAGTGTAGCCACTCTTCTCTGTTGCACAACTAAGACCTAACATTAACTGTCTCCTCCCCCAACATGGGCACATCACTCTACAGTATATATGGTGCTTTGCCTGCATTCTATCTTCTGATCCTCATACACTCACTCTTATGATATAGACAGAGCAGGTCTATGATTTAACAGATGAACCCATTTAACAGATGTGGTAAGCAATGCTCTGAGACGCTGAATGACTTTCCCATGATCTCATGGCTGAAAGTATTGGAAGTCAGACTTCAATCCATATCTCCTAATTTGGTCCTTGGCCAGGCTGAGCACAACCCTGAGTGCCCCCCTTCTAACAAAGCCTCCAGCAATGAAGACACACTGGGTCCGTTCTACTGGGGAAGGTTAGCATGGAAACAAGAAGACTATGGTGGCCACAGTATCCACCTTCAGATCCCTGAAGGGCTGTCAAGTGGAAGAAGGGATTTTAGGAACAGGGGTAAAATCTATTAGCAGGCAATTTCCACTCCATATAAGGATGAACTTTGCAAACCATGGCTGCCCTGCAGGTAGTGAGGTCTGCACCCCTAAAAGGCTCAAACATCATGGCTGGTCTTCAGTGAATGGTGTCAAAGAGGGGCCTCCTGTAGTCTCTCAGAGGCCCCTAAGGGCTCGACCAACCAGGACCTAAACAGGAAATCAACAGCACCCATCGATGGGATAATACAAGGAAAAATTCATGGAGGACTGTTTGCAAAGGCGTGGGCAAGGCTTAGGGAAGGCAATATGGGATGGTGCAGTGTCCTGGGCCTGGTAAGAGGGAGAACTTCCCGAAGAGAAACAGGAGAACGAGCTGATATCAGAACCCAGGGAGAGAGCGGTATGCAGAGCTTCCTCCAGCTCCCCACCCCAGAGCTGTGGTCTCCCAAGGTGACCTGCTGCTAACCTGCCAGGACCCAGCAAATAAAGTTGACAGACTGAAAGTCCCAGCCTGATCCTCCACTGTCCTGCGGTTTCCCACCTGGGCCACCATTGGCTGAACCCAACCAGAAGCAGAGGGCAAGGGAGCCCATTAGTACAGTCTCTACAAGGGCAGCTTCCAAGGAGAGAGCACAGAGGAGAGGACTGGCCAGGGGATGGACAAACAGAAGCGATCTTGCGCTGAGATGACCCCACCGCCATACAGCCGGCCTCCCTCCCACCCCTCCTTCCAAGCTGGCCATCCCAGCCACTGTCACAAAGTCAGACTCAACCAGCATAAAATTGCTTTGTATCAGCACAACCCTGCGTTAGCCAAGAAAATTTCCCCAGATTTTCAGAGCAGCTTCCCTTCCTACCTCTCTCCAGTGTTTATTTCCTCGGCGTGTTTCCTGTAATTTGCAAAGATTAAAGATTTAAGCTTCTTTTATTGCAATGTGCATTCCCTGCCCAATTATGCATTCTGCCCATGGCTCCCCGTCTCCTCCTGCAGAGCCCCCTCCTCTCTGCATGAGCAGAAAACACCACAGGTGGACCTCGCCTCCTTGTGCCACTGTGGCCATGCTCCTGAAAAATGAAAGAGACATTCAGCCGCTGCAGGTTGAACAAGCTCTACCACCCTCCTCCTGATTCAACATCATCTTTCATGTCAGGCTGCCTGGGTTTCAGCCTGGTCCCAATTAACAAGGGCTCCTAACACTGTGTGTGTAGTGACTTCCCCATTCCCTGTTCTCCCTCTCTCTCTCCCTCCCCCCCCATCCCCAGGGGATTTGAATCCCGGTGTTCCTGATGGTAAACAAATCCTTCACTGCCCTGGGGCCTGGCACCCTTTGAAGCAGCTCTGTGTTGAATCATTTAGCGGGGAGGGGAATGTGAGGATGTGAATAATTCTGTCCAGCACCAATCCAGGTTACTGTAGGGCTGGCTTTCTGGATATGCAACCTGGGCAGTCATATAGGCCCCCGTGCTCAGAGCATTCCTTGGTTTGGACTCTAAATTGGCCTCGCCCGTTTAGTAAGTGAGTGAGGTTTGAGTCACAAATCTTTCACTCGTTCCAGATGCCTGGTGCTGTGCAGGACCTTCGAGATCCTGAGAGAGAGCCCAGAACCTGGTATCAGGATGCTCCAGCCTGGGGAAGCACAGCCGTCAGATAAAGGACTGATACATGGAGGGCAGGGGCATATCAGGCATGTGTGTAGAATTCAACAGAGCAAGCGAAGGAGTTGCTTTGGGTGGGGCTGGGAGCTAAATCGCCAGTGCCGAGGTAGAGACATCCAGGCAGAATGAGATATACGTGCCTCTGTGANTGCTTTGGGTGGGGCTGGGAGCTAAATCGCCAGTGCCGAGGTAGAGACATCCGGGCAGAGATATACATGCCTCTGTGAAGAACAAGGACCGGTAACAACCAACCTGGGCAGCCCTGGAGGGCTGGACCCTTCGCACCACGAAGCACAAGGCTGCTCGGAGCAAGGCTGGGAGAGGGCGGGTTAGGGGGATTGGGTGCCGGATAAGAACAGGGGGGAGTTACACAGGTTTGGACTTTGGAAAGCTTATTCTGCGGGCTGTTTGGGAAGATTAAGACAGAGAAGGAAGCCCATTAAAGGCTTATATGTCACATAGGTGCACTCTCCACCAAGCTTGAGTGCCAACATCTAAGATAAGCTAGGCTCTGTGGTCCCATCATCTCCTGTCACCTCTGCCACCTCCCATTGCCAAGGGCCATTTCTCCTGCCAAAGAAAAAAAGGCAGAAGCTTCTGTTTTAGTTGCCCATCTCCTGCAGCTCTGAGGCGCAGGCATGTGGCGTACAATCCAGGCAAGCCTGTGTTTTTATCTCTGCTGCCGTATCATCTTGCTTTCCTCCCCCTGATCTCCTCACCTTCAGCTCACAGCCCCGTAGAAAAGTGTGTAAATAAAATAAAGGTGCTCCGTCCACATCATATCCCTGTTCTATAGTTTTGGAGACTGAAGCAAGGTGTTGGCCTAACTGCCCAGAATTCGTTTCTGATTGCTACTGAAACAAATTACCATCAACTTAGAGGCTTCGAATAATATAAACATATTGTCTGACAGTTCTGGAGGCCAGAAGTTCATAATGGGTTTCACTGGGCTAACAATTAGGTGTTAGCAGGGCTGCGTTCCTTCTGGAGGCTCTAGGGAACACCCACTCCCTTGCCTTTTCCAGCTTCTGGAAGCTGCCTCCATTCCTTGGCTTGTGGCTCCTCCAAAGCCAGTAGTGTAGCATGTTTCCGTTCTCTCTCTGGCTCTGCTCTCCTGCCTCCCTCTTACAAGGACCCTGGTAATTACACTGAAACCCACAGATAGTCCAGGATGCTGTCCCCACCTCAAGTCCCTAACTTCATGATATCTGCCATGTCCCTTTGCCATGGAAGGCGACCTATTGACTGTTTCACGGGATACAGAGGTGGTCAACTTTGAGATCTTGTATTCTGCTTACCACATGGCCTCATTGGTGTCCCTTGGAGCTGTTCAGTCCCAGGACTCCATAGCACCTGTTGTCTCTGACCCACGGTCCTGTCCTTCTCTGTTTTTTCAGAGGAAACGACGTTTGAAGCAGGAGTGAAAGTTCAGATCCACAGCCAGTCTGAGCCGCCTTTCATCCAAGAGCTGGGCTTTGGGGTGGCTCCAGGGTTCCAGACCTTCGTGGCCACACAGGAGCAGAGGGTAAGTTCCTGGGCTCCCTTGGTCCGTGGTCCTCGGCCTCTCCAGGCTACCTGCAAAGGCATGAGGAGGAAAAATGGGATTCCCACTTCTGGAAGGTTCTGAATGACCCTGGAGGCTGGGGCACAGCTGGGCTCTGTAAAGGGACTTACTCTGAAAGTGGAGAAGGTGTCAGCTAACCTTCGCGACCCGATTCTGCAGTACCAACTACTGGTTCCAAAAAGTGGGTGTGAAAGAAACCCAGCTTATTATCTTTTGCTCTGAATTGGTTGGGTTTGTGGGGTTTTTTGTTTCACTTTGGTTTTCATTGGTTTTCGTGTTTGTGTTTTCTTTTTGCTGGAACATTCTGGAGGGGAAATATTTGGAAGGGTGGGGAGAGAGAACAGGGATACTACAGGAAACTGCTAAGCAGGATTTCATATGTGGCATCACTTGTGTTAATAGAACTCGAAGTTGCCTACACAAAGGCAAAGGATTGGGGAGTCACTCCCGTAATAGAGCTTAAGTGGAGGGAAGCCTCTTGCATGGGTGGGTTCCTGCCCGATCTCTCTGACTTAGTGCCAGGGAAGGGACACTCCCAGCCACGCAGGACTGCTGCGTCAACCCTGCCTGTCAGTGGAGTGAGGACTGGCACAGCTCATGCCTGACATGGGTTTCACATCTTAGAAGGGAGACTTTCACAGAATCTCAATAGCATGGAAGTCTCAAAGCAGGACTGCAGAGAAACACAGGGACCCTTCCTTTCTACTATCCGTGGTGTGCCTAGAATAAATGCGGGAGAGGCTGTGGCTCTGAGGAAGTCCCGTCGCCCTGGGAGGCCTGGGGCAAAGAGTGAGGGCAGTGACCAGCTGCCGCGAGTCAGAAAGGAAGAATCCAGGACAGGGAAGGAGTGATCAGCAAGGAGGTACACGTGTAACTTAAAAGTTCAGCTTGTTTTTAAAACTGAACTCAAATGTCATCTTTCATCTAGTACCGACCGGAGCTCTTTCGCCACTTTATAAAACAAAATTCTGTATTAGAAACTAGGTTGAAATCTGTGAGCTGTAGTTTTGAATCTCTGGGGGGAAATGGATGGTGGAGGCCTCAGGAACTGGGCCCTGTACCTAATGCCGGGGCAGTTGCTAAAGGCCAAGTCCAGCCTCCACTGCAGCACGTAGGGGTGGGGTGGCAGTGTTGAGGCAGAAGAGGCTGGGAGGTTGGCCCGGACTCACCGGCCCCAGGGACTAAGACAGGTGGTGTGAGCAGAAATGGAGCGTGCAAGGGTGTGCAAGGTGGGAACGGAGCTGTACACCCAAAAACAACCTCTCTGAGGACAAAGAAGGAGGCATGAACCAGACAGCAGGGACCCAAATTCATGGCTGAGGACTTGAGTCAGAAAACTAGTCTCAAGGATGGAAAGTAGAGCACAGGGAATACTGTCAATGACATTGTAATAACTATGTATGGGGCCAGGTGGGTACTGGATTTATTGAGGGGATCACTTCAAAAGTTATATAAATGTCTAACCACTATGCTGTGCACTTGAAACTAATATAATATCGAATATCAATTGTAGTTGAAGTAAAAAATTTTTAGAGTGAGAATGTAGACTGACAAGTCGAGGTGTGCAGACGGATGGGCCGTCAGGGTGAACCGGAGCCCGAGCGGTTAACCTAGGCGGCTGCCAGCCTCGGTAACATACTCACTGCAAGAGGAGAGAGGGCTCCGCATGAACTGAACTCAACTTCCATTTGTACAGAGGTGACTGGGCATTTTAAAGGAAAAATCAGGGTGGAAGGAGTGGGAACAGAAGGGGCCTGAGCAGTCAGGGGAGTGAAAAGTTACAGAGTGGAAAGGAGAGGCTGGTCCATCTGAGTGTCCGACTGGCGCTTATCCAAGTTAGGCTCCCACCCTCCTGGAAGCGCAGGGAGATGGAGGCCCTATCTTCAGGGGTTGGCAGGAACAAATAGTGAATTCTCTTGGCAGGGACTTTAAGGGGACGGGGGCAAGGTCATTCCAGAGACGTAGCTTTGAGTTGTTAGAAACTATGTTAGTGTCTGTTCAGGTCCTTATAGACCAATATTGAGGCTTAGCTGGGAAAAGGGCTCAGAGGGGCCTGGCTAGGGTTTGGTCAAGGAGAGAATCTTTGTCGGTCCTTCCTTCTGCGTGTTGTGTGAGTAAACTCTCCCCTCTTACTAGCTGTGAACATGATTTCTTTGACTCTCCAAAGGCAAGTTTTTGACTAGCCGTCCAGGGCAAATCCGACTTTGTGGGTTGTTTACTGTTAAGTGCCACACCTGTCACTTATTCGTGTTGACATCTCTGACCACGTTGCTATCAGCTTGAGGGGAGGGGAGCGGCGTTCTCTGAAAGCCGCTGTGTGACTCCATCTAGCCACCGGCGATGGCTGGAAAGAGGAAAGCTCTTTGCAAGTTGCTGTCTGTCGTGGGCCCGAAAGATGCACTTATTGCCCCCCTCTTCCCCTCCATCCCTCACACTGAAGAAATCCCTGGGCGGGCAGGGAGTTGGAGCTGATGGCTTCTAACCACCCTTCAGTCCCCTTCCCTTCCCCATGTGAGGCAGGGGGCTCCCCACCGTGAGTGGGAGCAGAACACATTCCCAGCTTCCCAGGGCAAATTCGTTGTTTGCTTTGAAGTATATTTGCAGAAAAGCAGCCTCATTCATACCCTTATTGCCATGATAATTATAACTAATAATAAGATATTCAGTTAAACATTTTACAGTCTTCAAAGCATTTCCGCATCATCTCATTTGATCATTTCATTCATATTAATAGAGAAATACAAAGACACATCCCGGAGCTAAATCTGATAATGCGTTATGTTTACACGTATATGAAAGAGCATATTCATAGGAAATAAGACTCAAAGGAAATAAGCAAAAGACCCACAGTTGGGGGATTATGAATGATTTACTTTCTTTTCTGGGTTTTTCCTCGTGTTTTATAATGCGGCTTTGTTTGGTTTTTTCATTCGGCAAATGTTTGTTGAACACCTACTATGAGTGAAGTGATGGGGACACAGTGGTGAACACGACAGAGCCAGTGTCTGTCCTCACAGAGCCTGTGTAGTCGTGGTTTCTCTCACAAAGAAAAGATAGTAATCCAATAACTCGAGGCCACATATAACTTGGGGATCGGCCCCCATTTGTACATTTTCGCTCTGCCATTGGTACTGACCTATCCCATCCAGCTGACCCTGTTCCTCAAACACTGTGTTTCATATTTATTTTTTCACATTGTAACATTTCTGAAACCAGGGTTTGTTCCCCAGTCAGTTGTATCTCACAGTTACAATCGGCGGTGCTGTTTCTTTCTTGGTGGCACATAAGATCATGGTGGGTGTCACAGCCTGTGGAGTCTGCATCGTTCCCATTCCAGGATTCCGCTGCCTGGGGTCAAAGCTCATGGGAGTCTTGAAGAAGGCCAGGAAGGGGAGACAGGACTGTGGGAGCAGAGGGCTCTTTCCTGGAAAGTTGGTGTGAATCGCGTTAGGGAAATTGACTCCTGAGTGAGGGCTCCAAGAGGAACTGGTGACTTAAAGGAATCATGCCATGAACCTTTAAGTAAATGGAAAAGTCCTTTCGCATGGGAAAAACTCATTCCAGCCATGCAAAATTACCCACACACTCCTTTCAATATGTTTTCATTTTATTTTGTAATCCAGACCAAATTGCTTTTTTAAAATATATATATATTTTTTTACATATATATATATATATATATATATACACATATATATATATGTTTTTATTGGTTTTTTTAGAGAGAGGGGAAGAGAGAGGGAGCCAGAGATAGAAACATCAATCAGCTGCCTCCTGCACGCCCCCTACAGGGGATCGAGCCCGCAACCCAGGTATGTGCCCTGACTGGGAATGGAACTGATGACCTCTTGGTGCATGGGCCAATGCCACACCAGCTGAATCAAATTGCTTTTTTTGTTTGTTTATTTTACCTTTATTGATTTTAGAGAGAGGAAAGAAGAGGGAGAGAGAGAGAGAGAGAAACATCAATGATGAGAGAGTCATTGATTGGCTGCCTCTTGCATGCCCCCAACTGAGGATTGAGCCTAAAACCCAGGCATGTGCCCTGACCAGGAATAGAACCACGATCTCCTGGATCATAGGTCGATACTCAACCACTGAGCCACACCAGCCGGGCCCAAATTGCTTTTTAAATCAGTATTTGCCCTAACCCCAATTAGGCCAAGGTATGCTCCTGCCTTTGTGGACAATGTGAGAAATGCCCCNAGCTAGCTCAGCTGCTACAGGAGCCCCTGCATGATCCCAAGACCACCACCACCAGAGACAGACATTGGGATAGCATGCTGGGAGCAGAAGCAGAACCCCGAAGGCTGAGACAAAAAGTTACTACTAACTGAGCGCACACTACCTGCCAGGCATTGAGCTGCAGTGACCCTTGTCATGCATTATCTTCTTTAGTCCCCCACAACAACCCCAAAAGGAGACTGTTTTACCTCCACAGTCCAGATGACAAAACTAAGTAGTTAAATAAGAGCTTAAGGTCGCATAGGCAGGGAAGTAGCAGGGCTCAGCTTTGAGCCAGATCTTTCTGTGGAGAGAAAACCAGACTACAACCCTGTGCCTCAGGTTTCCCATGCAGAGAATGGGAGGAATGGGTTAAATGACTTCAAAGGGCCTCCAGCATGCACAGCCTGGGAGTCCCTGCCCGTGTCACTCAAGCACACAGCTATTGCCTGGAAGTTTGGCAGACAGCAATTTTATTAATTTATTTATAATAAATATCCTCTGCAGGAGCTAAAATAAATAGCAGCCCTAACTTTAGAAGAGAGGCTCTGGGCATGCGCCTTGTTAGTGCCCCTTCCTCAGTCCCCTCACATAGTGGTCCCTGCCTAAAACCCTTAAATTCCCTAGGCTTCCTGTAATCTGCAAAATCCCAGCCCTTTAGAATGGCTTCTGAGACCCTGTTCCCACTGCCCCCTGCCCCCTGCCCCCTCTCCAGCCACACTATCTGCCTGTGGTTGACCAACAGGTGCCCTACATTCCAGAATGGAGACCCATCCACCAAACTCTC